AATAGAGAGAGAACATTGCTTCACAGACATAATTTTTCAGCCTTACCACCTTCCGAAAAAAACCCTGTCTTGGAAGAAAGACCCTCTCCGAAACCGCCTTATAGTTATAATAGAAAATATAGTTTGACCTAATAGTCGGTGTAAATGGGATGTACCGAAAGAAAACTAAAATCTAGAAAAGAACAGTGATCATCCTGTTTGAACCCCCGTGTGATGCACGCGAATGCGTGCGCAGCCAAACTGGTAAAGGATAAAGGATAAAGCATTTGCCGTTGATCAATCCCTTTTTGGGATGCGGCACGCATTCTACTTCCATTTGTACATTCGTAGTGGCGTTTGAATGCGATGTGGCCTATACAATGACTTGCGGGGGCCAGCCGATGTACAAGTCAGTGTTTTTATCCTCCCAGACAAGTCTGGTACCAATTAACCGACCCCGGAGGGATGGAAGGCTTGGTTGGCCCGGGCGACTCACGACCCAGGATTTGATCCCGGACCGCTCGCGTGGTAAGCGCGCCACTTGTCACTACACCACTTCCGTTTAAATTAAAGTTTATTACGTCTGCATAAGGCACACGTTAAAAAAAAAACACAACATCAATAAAACAAATCGATATGAACATTCACAACTAAATTGGATTAGTAAATAGAACATATGGGCGGAAGTGTAATGTAATGAGTAATGTTTAGATAATCTTTACGCATTGGACATTGCAGAAATTATTTTGTGACATTCATGTTTTTGTTCATTTACAAAACAAAATCTGCGGTTATGTGGTGAGGCGGCGGCGCCCACAAAATCGCGTCCGTCCCACGCGACCGAAAAGTGGAAAAGGGGCGTCGTCGTGAATGTGTTAAGAGTGCAAGCTACTGCATTTCGCAGCAGTTAGCGGTCGTTGTTTTCGAGGAAAGGCAGCTTTATATAAGGTTCATGATAAAAAATTCTTTCATTAGTTTTTGAGCTTCTAACTCCCATGAACAGATCGATTTATGGATGAGAAGAATTACAAAAAGTACTTCTTAAAGTCAATCTGCCGTTCGTTCGGCTGGCTAGTTAAAGAAGCCATGATCTCTCACACCTCACATGTGACGTAGAAAGGATTCAGGCCAACTCTCATACCTTTGTGAGAGGTCACTCGCGGTTTCTCAAGCAGGTACAGTAGCGGTCAAAAGTTTGGAAACTTTTTTATTTTTGATCTAGCGTAGCCAATAGACAATGAAATTGCCCCGAATTCACATATTATATTCAGAATCAAGTGTAGATTACGATGGGTAACATGATTTTTGAAAACTGAAATCGCATTTGAAAAATACGAATTTTTATAAGAAATGGCGCGTCAAAAGTTTGGAAACTTCCGAATTCCAAAGCGAATTCGGCAAAATAGCTCTCAAATCCACATGATAAATTAGTTATTCGATGAGTAGCTTGAATTTCTATGTTAGCGTCGTTTTTATTGACATGGAGTTGATTATAAAATAATTTTAGGATTTTTAAGTCGGACCTCATACACTGTGAACTAAATCACATTGTTTGGTGGGATTCTTAACTGGAATGTGGGTGAGCGACATGCCAGTTCTTCCGTGGGATGTAGAACTCAATTAGACTTCAGATCTTGACTTGGTCGCTTCATAACAGCTTCTTTTTCTGGGTTTAGGAAGGCGGCAGTGAGGAGGTAGGCCTGCATTGGGTCATTTCCGCGATAGAAAACCCATCTTTTCCGGCTAGTTCTGACTATCGAAGGAAGCATTGTATTCTACAGACTATACTTGTACTTAGCCCAACCCACATTTCGCTGGATACTAGAACTGGGGAATCGCCGAATGGTCGGACACATCTTCATCCATGACAATACTTCCACTATTTCTGACTGTTGGAATCTATACTCAAAATGAGGTTCCCATTTGACAAAACACTTCACAGGGTCCACAACATTATTTCTAGGAAGATAGAAATCTCATTCGTCGCTGACAAAGTTTCACCTCTCGCCTTCGGTCCATGTTAGCCGTTAGTGTGCGGAAGCCAGTTGGGCCATCCTGCTCTTGAAGCCCAACAATGGCTTCTTGTTGGGACATCATCCGTAATATTCACCAGGTCGCGGCCGATGTTGGGCTGCACTTGGACTTTCATATGATTAGGAAAAAACCAGAAAAAGTTGTCTCTTAGTTGGGAATGTTGGGGGTACGGGACGTGCCAACCACCCTTCGAAGTATTTGAGGAGGCCAACTTTCTTGTGAAGATACTTTTTTGTGAATGATCATTCTTCTTATGCTTACTCGACTCCAATAACGCTAGAAACATTCGATAATATTGCTTCCGTAGAGACTGAACTACTAAGAAACATTTCAATTTCGTATTCCGGATTGTAGGGTTTAAAAAAGGACCCCATGGAAAAACTGCTTCCTTTGCATATGAATTCATTTTGAAATTACACATTGCTCAATGGTTGAACTAAAATTAACAGAAACAAGTAAACATTGAAGAGTAGGAATCATAATGATAAGGGAAACAAAAAGTTTCCAAACTTTTGACGCGCCATTACTTGAAAAAAATCTTATTTCTCAAATATGATTATAGTTTTTGGAAATTGTTCTTCCCGTCGTATTCTGAACTCGATTTTGTATGGAATATCTAAATTTGGGACAATTTCGTTGTGTATCGGCCGCGCTAGATCAAAAATAAAAAAGTTTCCAAACTTTTGACCGCTACTGTACGTAAGTGAGCATTCATTAGACTGTTTGTGATCATCAGACCGTTGTCAGCCGAACGAACGGCAGATTGACTTTAGAAAGTACTTTTTGTTTTTCAACGCCTGTCTTGAATTTGTTGATTTGTTTTGTATACGAGGGTCAGAATTTTAAAAACCAATAACATGAGTAACCACATTTTTTCTAGACTCAACTTTCTCCCTACAATCGTTCTTCGCTAAGCTTCTACACCATTACTGGATATACAGGGGTGGCCAAAAAAAAGAGACACTTTGCCCATGGCGCACATCATCGAACTTTTCGTCGCACAGGGTGCCGATGTTAATGAAAGTTTTACGGCGAATATTCCTTAGGTGTTCCCCCGTAAACAGAAGCAGGCCCTCCTTCACTGCCCCCGCCGTCTTCAGAATATGACGTCATCTGCCGCCACCGTCGAGCTCAACGAGGCTTACCGTAATCGCTCCGGCCTGAAGCTGCTACATAATTTCTTCAATGGATTAACTGTGAATAGCTTCCAGAGACATTAGCTGTGACTATGCAAAACCGCTTTTGACCAGCGTTTCAGGGACGTCGTAATGGTCTATGGTACCTCGACGACCTCGTTGAGCTCGTACCGTGAACCATGTTTCCGTGGGAAAATCTTCTGATGTCGTCGGTGTAGAAGGCTGTCATGTGTTTAGATAGATTAGAATGTGCTCTTCAATACTGAGTTGGGGGCAGTCGATTTGATTTTAGCAAAGTGTGATTAATGCTGTCTGAAATGTGGAGTCAAGTGTCTCTTTTTTTGGCCACCCCTGTATACGGCGCACCTCGCCCACAGGACACTAGCGCGTAGTCGCGAAGCAGTGCTAATTAGGTGCTAGAATTTGAGCTCACTCTGCACCTACTCGTAACGCAGCACTAGTAAGGTGCTAAAATTCCCATTCGTTCTCCTTGATATACACCAAAACACAGGCACTAGGCGCTGAAATCTCACCAAAAAGGGCTTATATACTTTTCACAGCTTTTGCAATATTTTGCAACTCTTTTGTGAAAAGTTTAAAGTCTTCTGCAATAAATACTTTGGTGTCTTACATCGTTGTCATACATTGTCGGCCGGCATGAGACCCAGGGACAGAATAATACCAAAGATGAAACAATCATTCATCTTGTTCGTCATGACTGGGTGTCCCTCAAGAGGCCCGTCGCGCGCGAAGGAAGAGACGCAGACGCGGCAAAGGACGAGTCGCAGCGCATACTGTAGCGGTTAGGCGTCAATTTCAATAGAACGCAGAACGTACAACACCATTCACTCCACGGACGTAGGCTCAAAATTCGACATCTGCTTATACACGCCGCTTTTTCTTGTTTTTTTTTGCGCTATTACTTTCCTCCACATTCAATTGCCCCCAGACTGCTCGTCTTTGTTACGTCTCTTCCATTTCCTCACCATAAAGCCTATCGTTCGTCATGTTGGTATTTTGGTCGCTTCAACTGCTTTTAGCCAAGCTAGTATTTTTCTGAATTTACCTTTTTTAGATGTGACCTATTATATGTAGTGCTCATTTCGAAATATCGAGGACGTTGTAGTGCTGGGCTAGGCACTGCTTCTTTTTCATTTTCAGTGAACTCCGCATCTACACTTTCCCAGATAGGCTTTATGGTGAGGAAAGGGATGAGACGTAACAAAGGCGAGCAGTTTGGGGGCAAATGAATGTGGAGAAAAGTAGTAGCGCAAAGCGCAAAAAAAGAAAAGCGGCGTTATAAGGAAATATCGAATTTTGAGTCCACGCCGTGGAGTGAATGGTGTTGTACGTACTGTAATGCGTTCTATTGAAATTGACGCCTAACCGCTACAGTATGCGCTGCGACTCGTCCTTTGCCGCGTCTGCGTCTCTTCCTTCGCCGCGCGACGGGCCTCTTGAGAGACACCCGTCATGACGAACAAGATGAATGATTGTTTCATCTTTAGTATTGTTGTGTCCCTGGGTCTCATGCCGGCCGACAATGTATGACAACGATGTAAGACACCAAAGTATTTATTGGCAGAAGACTTTAAACTTTTCACAAAAGAGTTGCAAAATATTGCAAAAGCTGTGAAAAGTATATAAGCCCTTTTTGGTGAGATTTCAGCGCCTAGTGCCTGTGTTTTGGTGTATATCAAGGAGAACGAATGGGAATTTTAGCACCTTACTAGATGTTAGAGGAAGCTAAAATATGCGAATTAATCAGTCCACCCGTAGAGTTATGGTGTTGTACGTTAACAGTAATGGGTGCTATTGAATTGTGTTTTCGCTCATCCTGCTTGGGTCAGTATGTCGCGTGTCGCGTCTACTGGTCACTCCGATCTTGCGCGAGTCCGTCTCTTCCTTCGATTCGGCTCCCAACCTGGTGCCTTGTCTTTGGTAAGTGACATCGTCATGTACCGATAAGAAGATCGGAATGGCGTCACGTTCGTTTAGTATTGCTTGTCGTCGCTCTCGCGGCTCGGATTTTTGGCCGGCCGATCAATGCCTAGTGCACTTGATGTAACGATGTAAGACACCAAAGTATTTATTGCAGAAGACTTTAAACTTTTCACAAAAGAGTTGCAAAATATTGCAAAAGCTGTGAAAAGTATATAAGCCCTTTTTGGTGAGATTTCAGCGCCTAGTGCCTGTGTTTTGGTGTATATCAAGGAGAACGAATGGGAATTTTAGCACCTTACTAGTGCTGCGTTACGAGTAGGTGCAGAGTGAGCTCAAATTCTAGCACCTAATTAGCGCTGCTTCGCGACTACGCGCTAGTGTCCTGTGGGCGAGGTGCGCCGTATATATCCAGTAATGGTGTAGAAGCCTAGCGAAGAACGATTGGAGGAGAGAAAGTTGAGTCTAGAAAAAATGTGGTTACTCATGTTATTGGTTTTTGAAATTCTGACCCTCGTATACAAAACAAATCAACAAATTCAAGACAGGCGTTGAAAAACAAAAAGTACTTCCTAAAGTCAATCTGCCATTCGTTCGGCTGACAACGGTCTGATGATCACAAACAGTCTAATGAATGCTCACTTACGTACAGTAGCGGTCAAAGTTTGGAAACTTTTTTATTTTTGATCTAGCGCGGCCGATACACAACGAAATTGTCCCAAATTAGATATTCCATACAAAATCGAGTTCAGAATACGACGGGAAGAACAATTTCCAAAAACCTATAATCATATTTGAGAAATAAGATTTTTCAAGTAATATTATGATTCCTACTCTTCAATGTTTACTTGTTTCTGTTAATTTTAGTTAAACCATTGAGCAATGTGTAATTTCAAAATGAATTCATATGCAAAGAAAGCAGTTTTTCCATGGGGGTCCTTTTTAAACCCTACAATCCGGAATACGAAATTGAAACTGTTTCTTAGTAGTTCAGTCTCTACGGAAGCAATATTATCGGATGTTTCTAGCGTTATTAGAGTCGAGTAAGCATAAGAAGAATGATCATTCACAAAAAAATATTGGGTTGTCCGGAAAATAATGCGACACTAACAACACAAATTTCAGATCGTTTTTTATACAATAAAAGACAAGTTCAATCAGTGATATAGTCGCCGTTATTATCGATGACCTTCATCCATTTAAGTGGTAGTTTGTCGATCCCACTTCTCCAGAATTCAGCGGATTGCGTGCTGAAGAAGTTGCCCACCTCCATTTTGAGTTGCTCCCTGATTATCGAAATTCTCATCTCGTAGGTGCCGCTTCAAGGCTCGGAATAAGTGGTAGTCGGAAGGGGCTAGATCAGGAGAGTACGGTGGATGAGGTAGTACTTCCCAACCTAGCTCCTGAATCTTCTGACGCGTCATCGTTGCCACGTGGGGGCGAGCGTTGTCGTGCAGGAGATAGGTTTCCAGTCGTTTTGGGTACTTGTGGAGGATTGCATTGGCTACCTTCTGTAGTTGTTAGAGTACGTCGTCGCCGTCACAGCAGTGCCACTATCCAGAAATTCGTAGTAAAGCATCCCATCACAATTCCACCAGCAACATATGAGAACCTTCCTCTCTTGCAAACCAGTTTCGATTGCTTCGGTGGCACTTCGCCCTTTGGCAACCACACTCTCTTGCGGGTATCATTTACGTACAGGACCAGCTTTCGTCTCCTGTCACTATTCCATTCAACAAATCCTTTCTGTGCGGACGAAGTAGCAATGACTCGGCAATGCTAACACGACAGGCCCGGTCCGATTCGCGGAGTTCGTGAGGCACCCATGTCGAAAGAATTTTGCGGAAGCCAAGAGAGGCAAGGCGATCGCTGACGGTTGTTTTGCTGCTCCCGAGTGTCGTTGCTAATTCACGAGTGGTTATGTTCGG